TGTGTGTGTGTGTGTGTGTGTGTGTGTGTGTGTGTGTGTGTGTGTGTGTGCGCGCGCGCGCGCGCGTGGAGTACATAAATTCCAAATCAATATAGAAGATCTTCTGTAGTCTGATAATCGAGACTGAGTAACCAATTTGTTATTTTATTCTTACACTCATGTCTAGTCAGAGGGTAAAAGGCCAGTACATTATGTAGTTTATTATATAAGTAGCTTCCCAGAAAGCAAAAAAATTCCCAGCGAATTTTGTTCGAAAGGTCACTGTTGGGCAGACGGTATGTTTTCTTCTTTTGTTATTAAAAGAAGGATCAAAAAATAGTTTAGAATGTTTAAATAAAATGAGATACTATATAAATAATTGCCGGACTGTTAAAACTTTACAGTCCTTGTAAAGCGTAATTGTTGGATACAAGCGTGGGAGAAAGTGACTAACTTTCAGTATCAACCTTTGAGCTTTTTCAAGAGGCAGTAAAGTTGATGTGGGCGCTCCACCCCATATTTCAACACAATATGTCAATATTGATTGGCAGAGTGCGAGATATACCATCTTGACAATATTAGGTTCCCTCACATGTCTCAAATTTTTGAAGACATACGTTAGTTTGCGGACCTTGTTAGTTAGACCATCAATGTGCTGGTGAAAACTGAGAGTATCATCAATGATTACACCCAGATACTTATTTGAGGATGTTCTTGTGAGAGCAGAACAAGTACACGGAACAGATGATGGCTGACAAGAATGGGAAATGATGTTGGCATTCTCATGTTCTGGTATACAATATTTTTTGGTCATGAATGTTAAAAATTTTGTCTTGTCTGTATTCAATTTAAGTTTATTTTTCTTTAACCAGTTTGACACTTTATCAAGTCCTTTTGAGCCTCTCTATACACATCCTGCCAAGAGTCTCCTTTGAAATGGAGAGCAGTGTCATCTGCAAAGGATATGATTCTACCCTCCCCTAATTCGAGATCACAGAAGTCATTTATGTAGGTTAGGAAGAGGGTAGGTCCCATTACACTCCCTTGAGGTACTCCATGATAAATATGAAGGTCATTGCTGCCGCACCGCTCAATCCTGACTCTCTGATCTCTATTGCTCAAGTAGCCCCGAAACAGTTGCAGTTGCAATCCCCTAACTCCCAATAGTTCTAATTTTTGTAGTAAGAGTGGAACAGAGACTGTGTCAAATGCCTTAGCTAGGTCTAAGAAGACCACGATCACCTTTTTCTTAGCATCCAAATTAGTCACTATGAAGTTTGTTAGTTCGTGAATAGCTAGATTTGTTCAATGTCCTGATCTAAACCCATGTTGGGATTTAGATAACAAGTTGTTGTTCTCCAAATAGTACGTAAATTGTCTGTAAATAACCTTTTCAAGAATTTTTGAGATTAAGGCAAGATAGAGATAGGTCTATAGTTATTTACACAGTCCCTGTTACCACTCTTGTAAATAGGGAGGACTTCAGCTAACTTCAAAACATCCGGGAAAGTACTCGTGGATGTGGCAACATTACAAATGTACGTGATAGGCTCTGTCAATATGTCCCTATGCCTTTTCAGGATTGTACCTGAGATGTTATCTCTAACTACTGAGCAATCAGATTTCAAGTTAAGTATAATTGATTCAATCTCAGAACAATCCGTATACAGCAAGACCAATGACATTGGATGTGATTTAAGAGGGAGGTCCACATCTGGTGTTGGTTGATATCATAGCGTTTTGTCCGAATTATCTTTACCAACATTGGCAAAAAAAAGTATTTACTTTATTAATTGAAACTAAAGGATCAGATGAGAGTGGTTCGGTCACACTAGATTTGTTTTTATCCGTATTCGTTTTTAGAATTAGTACATAGAAGGCACAAAGCCGACGATGGGTTTGTGGGATTTTCAATGAATCCAAATTTAACATATTCCGCACAGTATTGCCGTCTCTTCTTTTTTACTTCCGACATTGTTTTGTTTTGAGAAATAGGTAAGTAAGTGTTGAACTTAAGTGCTGCTTATCTATTACGCGCGAAACCGCAAATGAAAATAAAATAAATATTACGTTGTTTATATAGGATCGCATAAGCAGCACGCACCGACAGGAATAAGACAAACATGCATAAACTCGTTTATCTCATTCGACGCTCAATCGTACTCAACAAATAAGAACAAGTATTCTATGACCCAGCCGATTGATACATGTATGCACAAATCGGGTTATTTAACAAAAACTTGTTAAAACACGATTGCCCACAGTCTATTATCTACGAAAATTACCTATCTAGGAATACTAATAACTATTAAAATGCGAAACTGTGTTGTCTTTTTATTTGTTTGTTTGTGTCTACTGTCATTTCGAAACGGAGCGACAGATTAACATAACTTTTATTTTATTTATTCAATAAAACAGGACAGATATATGAACTACATGGAGAGAAATATCGAACCGAGTTAGTTTGAGCAATCTCTTAATTAATATTAGTTGATGTTCACAAGTTGTAGTCGAGAGTCGAGAGCTCAGTCGGTGTCTAAGAGTCTTCCTAGATGAAATTACTAATCTCCCCCTAAGCCTATACACAACATCTCCATTTTTTTGGGTCTCTTACCGCCTAGGCCTGCAGCGAAAAAAGACTGACCTAGACATATATACTTTTAAGAAATTAAGTTAAATTTGTTCAAATAACGTTTTTGATAGTCGATTGTAAACTTTGGTAAAATTTTAGTGACTTCGTCCACATGATGTTAATTTCTGATGATGTTACAATAATTACACCACTACAATTTTATGTGTAAACAATCACGCATTTTAAGATAGTTTTTAAGGCCAGCAATAAAATTCTGGTAGTAGATTTTTTCCGTCACGAATTTTTAGAAAATTTAATATTTTAGTGGAAAACTAAAAAAAATTACATTATCTCTAAAATAATGACGTAATCTAACACAAAAATACACGCTCGTTGCACGTTAGCTACGTGGTCACACTTCTTCTATACCAAATTTCAATTGATTTAGTGGAACGGTTTTCAAAGTAGAGTGGTTTTGGTGACTAGAGAAGAATAAATTTTGTTAGAAGTATAAATTAATGTTTGGACCAAACGTTGTTTTTCTATTATGACAATGTTTAAAAAGTATTTAAGTTACTTAGTGTGTTGATTTGTTAACGAGTGGTTTAAAATGTGCCTTAATTATGCTTTGTACATACTAAAAAAATTATAACATATTCACTTTTTTTTTAATTTGTCACCCCTGACACCCGTATGTTCCTCTTGCCCCGAAATTAATATTTCACCTTTTTTTTGATAAGTATGCGTTATTTCAATGGTTTTAAGATCAAATACGATTAAAATAGTTTTACTTAGGAACTAAGTACGGATATATTTAAATATACATTGCATTTATATGAAATATAATGACACTTCCTCTTAACCCATTTTTTGGGGGAAGAGAAAGGTTAGCACAACCTGAACGTTTTTGTCAGATACATCGTAAGTATTAATTTTAGCGTAACGATTGTTAAAACATGGAAAGCTGATAAACCACGGGAAGATTAGAGCATTTCGAAATTCGTATAAGACATTATTTTATTCCTCCTAGAGCTCATAACATTTGTCTCGAAATAAAATATGTTCCTCTTATCCCACCTAACCTTACTGGTTTTTTGTTTTCATATTTAAATTAAGTAAAAAGCAGGGTTTTCCTTAATGACCAGTTAGTACAGACAATTGTAAGCTAGACAATTAGTCTAACATTTCATCTATTTCGCTTCAGACTTACATGAGTCTTGATTACTTTTTAATTGTTTAGGTTCCCCTATTTGTAAATACAATATGTGGTAACAATAAAGTAAATCTTTCCTCCAAACAACGGCGAATAAACAGGTGGCAGCATTAAGTATGTCGTTCCTGCTACTCGGCATCGGTAATACGGTGACGACGCTGATCGTCATTCCTCAGAAGCTCAACGAGCAGGTACCGTGCAACTGAAGTGCCGGCGCCGTATGACGTCACTGCGATTTGTTGTGTGATTTTTTAAGGCTTGTTCAGTATTCTTACCAAATATGACCAACTGTAATATTGAAAATGTACTCTCCGAAATATTTACAAGTCCTACTAACTTATTTAGTTTGAATACTGGAAACAGCTGTTTGTTTGGTCTTGAGTGTTAACTGATAAGTGACTTTATGGTATGTGTTTTAGAGCGCCTTTTACTTGCAAGTAATCGAGTACCTTATGTATATTTTCTTGCCACTTCTTTACGGAAGAACGCCTTTTCCAACGTGGTCATAAAGTCCAAAGTAAAGTGGTCGTAAATCACAAAGTGAAGTTGTACATTTCGTGTTATGTTAAGAGGATGGTTAAGCCACTGTTCGCCATACAAAAAAGAAATTATTTACTTTGACGTGTTTAAATTTTTTTAATGCTACTGTTAAGATGAAAGACGAGTTTCATATTTTTATTTTTTTGATATTCAGCATAGTCTTGTAAAAACGTGCACGTCAATTTCACTTAATTTTTATCGTAATTTCTCTCGATATTATTTAATTTTACTATTAAAGAAAACGTTATACGAACCTTGGAATGTTTAAGTTATACTGAATAAAATAGAACTCTGTACAGTTCAACGGGGATAAAACCTTTTCCCCTTGAATCGATAGTTTTATTTGGAATTATAAATACTAAACATCACAGGCTACTATTCCTTTCGTCTTTCGTCTATGATGAGTGTGTTTTCACGGAGTCGCAGTAGGGTGAGAACGAAATCGATATCGACGGGCATAAAAAGGTTTTTGGTGCAAATATTTTGTATGGAAACAATTTGCTACGTAACCAAAATATCTCTGAAACGTGCGGAGATTTTTAATTTCGGAACATCTTTTATTTTTAACTCTTAAATTTTGACATGGTGTTAATTTTAATAAAATATAGTGAAACTCATTTTCATTAATTAATCTATAATAACGTCATAACATAAAGTAAAATTATTAGGTGTCAGTGTGATTTGGTGTCAACATCACACTGAACCTCTAGAAACCAATAGAAAATATCTGAATCTGAATTTTTAAGTTTTCTTGAAATTTATGAGTACTTGAGGTTTCAGATTTCACCTATCTTCTTGATAAATAAGAATTAAGCAGGGCCCTGACCTGTTTGAATGTCGCAAGCGGTCACTATTTTAAAGTTTAAAAGGACAAAAGTATGTTTCAACCAAGACAAAACTTACCTTTGACTGCTAGGACCAACACTTCTTTATTTTGTGAAATTATATAAATAACGCTTGTAATGATAACAATGATAAAATAAGCATTATGCATCGCGCATCGCTGTGGCTAGCGCCATGCTGCCGTCCACACACTAAAACGTGGCTAAGTGATAAATGGTCAAATAACCGTTTCAAATTGCAAAAAATAGAGCACAAAATTCTCTTTTAAAAACAGTTAACGTGTGACTTATCAGAACTTACCCTCACGATGCATAGCTGAAATGTCATTAAACAACAAAATATTCTCAAACTGGGTTATGGTTTTTTATGATATCTCCAAAAATTATCTTTGGTTATCAGACGGCAGCATGCCCGTCATAGCACTAATTGCAATGTGCATGCGGTTTTTTATGTATGATTGAGCCCGTAGAAAGTTGTTGTCTACAACGCGATAGCAATTATTTTTTTTAAATACCTGTGCTGCACAATCCTCTTAATATAGATAAAATATTTATAATCGTACATGCCTATTACCTCTTTATCTTAAACAAAATGTTTGGTAATGGAAACCGGTTACTGATTTCACCTGTTAGACATTCTTATCAATCGGATTGCGTGGTAACTTGCAAATGAAAACGCGTGCTTATAGATTACCTTTGGGTGACATTCATAAAGTCCTTGCTGTAGTAGAGAAAGTCCTTGCTGTAGTAGAGAGGAGGGGATACTAGAAATATTTAAAGAATTATCGTGTTTTATCGTTGAAAATAACTTTGTACTGGAATATATGACTATCTAATCGGATTTTTTACGGTGTGTTAACACAATCTGAATGTGTTTACCGAAGTTGACGTCGTCGTTAATGTCTTTATCATCAATTGCCACGTGAACTTAATTATTTCATAAAGCAGTCTACATTTCTAGTATCTCCTCAACTTCGTTCATGTGATATAGCAGTTCAAATAAAAAACAACTCCAATAAGTAAATAAATAGGGGATAGATATACGATAAGAAATAACGTATTTTTTGTGAAGAGTAATAATAACTAAAAAAAAATAAATAACTGATATTCCTAATCGACGCACAATAAAATATCAAATTAATATTTTTCGATATTTACGAGTGTATTCGTTATTAATGTTTTAAATTCCGTTCCGTTCGCTGTTAAAAAAAATATTCATACCGATTCAGAACCTATATTATACTTACAGGAATCATAACTTATTTCAATGGGAACATAGTTACCTATAGTATAATCCTATACTTTACAGTATGTAGTGTTAGAATTTGCGTCACCTGCTGCAATTTTACTTGGAACCTCAGAAAATTCAAGATGGGAATACTAAACCTTAGAAAGAGGTATTGCCATTTATAATGTTTACATTTTTGTACCTCAAAAGTTGTACAAGGAGATTACGCCTTTGGCATTTACTTATGGAATAAAACCACTACTATACACTTGTAATTTTATACTTGCAATGTACGGACAACGGCACATCAGACTACACATTTTTGTTCGAAAATCGCCTCCAGTGCAACGGAACAAGATACGTCAATGTGTAGCTTGATGTGCTGGAGTGTGTACAAGTAAAAGGGGGCATTTACACTTTGTTTATATTTATCTATCATATATCGATCTCTTGATTTCCTAAACTTTTTGAAACTACCAAAGTAAAGACGCATTGTGAATACAACGACGATTCCAGTAAGTCATAAACTTGTGCCAAATAAGATGTTGCTTTCAGTTTTATACGTCTCGGTACGAAATGAAAACTCTGTGAATGATTTTTTACATTTTATACGTATTTGCGTTTCCTACCTATGTTTCAGTTCAAAATACCGTATTAGTGATTTTTTAACACTTAAGGAGTTTTCTTTTCATACCATATACAAGTATTTTGCATGATGTTTTTGTATTAGCTGAACGGATTATTTAAGCATGTTTGTTGTAATTAAATCACATACATACATATAAAAAGCAAGGTCTGTATAATTTTTTACTCAAGTGTGGTAGTTTTTAATTGTATGCATTGTAATACTAATGTTAGAGCGTCAATTCGTGTAAATTGAATAATAGTGTTTTGCATGCGCCGATTTGTATTAACTTTTAAAAACAATGATAATTAGCATGCCATTGCGTACTTTTAAGGACTGAACTATTATAGTTCTACTTATATTTAAAATGAAATAGACTTTGGAAATATTATTTGAGGCTATCAGTGCAAAATTGGCGTAACCCACATTAAATGTTTTTACAATATTACTTCATGATTATATTTGTATGTTATTTTCATATGTAAAAAAATTATAACCGAATGGTTTGTTATACAAAAAAATTCAGTAAAAAAATTTAATAATGAAATATTTTTTATACGTGAAAATAGCATCTAAATATAATATAATTAGTACTTTAGTATCATTTAAAGTAATATTATCGAAAAGAATTGCATCTGGGTTTGTACTTTTGCGCTAGTAGCCTCATTTATAATATCTGATTTATTTTGAATATAAAATGATATTTGTCTTCATATAATTTTTAATCATATGCATATCACTACGTACGGTACGTTTGAAATCTCGCGTATCTACTGTAATATATGAAACATGTTTCAGAAATTTTGTGACCATTGAGTGTCAAACTGAAAATAGTGGATTTGCATTAGCCACAGTGTCTTCAAAAATGAGTACTTATATACTACTTATTTCTAAAAAATAAACACTATTTTTAAGTATTTTTATTCTTAACATTGTCTCTAGTTATCTTATTATTTTCACACAGGACCAGACGTGATACAGTCAAGTTTATAGATTTGTATCGAAAGTCAAAGAATAGTTAACCAGAGAAGAACTGAATATATGGAGGATAAGATTGTCAATATTTCGATTAAAAACTTTTCTCGTAAAAATTGCGATCTGCATTTATGAATCTCTTCTCGACGAGTGAATACGAGAGAAATAGTTTAATGCACAAATGTACGCGGTGTTGATATATTAATAGAGAAATCGTAATATTGCTAACCGCAGTTCGTGTCCGTCTCGTGTCAAGTTATCAACACCATGCCATGTTAATAAAAGTATGAGTATCTAATTGTCTGGAAAAAGAAGGGTTGTTTGTACTTATTAGATAATTTAGTTTTTTTTATAATACTAAGTGACGGCACGAACAAGTCGTGTGCCTGGTGGTAAACGTCACGCCTGTCGCTAACAGTTGCAGTGTCACTCAGAGCTTTAAATCACAAAGATCTGAGGGGCACTGTCACTGCGCCCGACACCATGAGACATAAGTTGACAAGTCCCATGTGCCTGTAATTTCACCAGCACTCTTATCTTTCGAAACCGGAACGCAGTAATGTTCACATTACTGCTTGGCGGCAGAAATAGGTAAGGTGGCAGTACTTCACTGGACGAACTCTTTCACAAGGAGCTCTACTGCTACTAAAAATTCATTTGTCATTGGTATCCAGGCTTTTATTTGTGGGAGTAGGACGGAGCAATATTCTAATTACTTCGAGCTCATTACCGTGAATTGAACGATGAACCCACTTATGTAGTGTGGGTGAATAAGGGCCCAGTCAAATATCAAAGTTCTTTCGCATAAGGACAGATAAAATATAGTTGATTACATGTACTTAAATTTATTATTGTGATGTTGTATTGGTGTATGTAATTGTCAAATGAAATACTGAAGTGAAATATTCATATACTCTGAAGATCTGGATGTACTTGGTTGAATGTTATATGTGGGGGAATGTAGCTCAATTATTGACCCTGTGTAGAATCTCTGAAGACTGTAAATGGTGTAATTTCTTATGTACAGTCATAGTTGTATACTGGCAGATACCTTAGATTTAACATGTCACCCAATTTTAGTTGCATTAGTTTGAACGAACCGTTCCATGTGCTTTTCTGAAAATACATAGCTGGACTAGTCATTCGTAAACATTTTGTTACTTTTATATGTTGATACATAATTATTCAGGTAATATGCGTCTGTTTTATATATAAACAATATCTCGTGAAACAGAGGCTTATAATACCAGACTTTTCATTTGAGAATAATTGTAACAAGTAGTAAATACGGATAATTTAGAATGTGATGTAGCTCTATTTATTATGTTAATACTTATCGTGCTGTGTATATTTTGTTTATAGTTCTACGTTTGACTTTCATTTGTAATAGTTATTGTTGTTATTTCAGTACTGGAATAATAAATTTGTTTTTCAGTTGCGACCATATCCCATTATGTTTTATTTACGTTTTTTTTTGTTTTGCGGTATTCGGCAGATACCTTACCTGGCGGCTTTGTTTCTTGTGTTGCACTGTTGCAACATGTACACGATACTGAAGACGTTGCACAGGAAAACGAAGGGCGGGTTGAAACTGAGCTACAAGCTGCGTGCGATTGCGTACCGGCTCTCTAATGAATTCGCCATATTGGTACGTGGCCCTCATCATATGTATACCCCGAACTTTAAGGCACGTTATCTACCATATAATATTACACTTCGGCAAAGCGACGTGGAGAAGTCAAAATAACTAAATACTTGGTGAATTACACAGTTCTTTTCCATACTGCTTTGGTAGATAATCAACCTAATGTCGTCCTTTCGTTTGAATATAATGTATGCAAGTTATTTCAAGGTGACTTTAAAAAAGGTGTGCAGTTCGCATTTGCACTGTATAATGTGCCGAATATTTATAATTTGTTAGACTTTGGTTGCCTCGAGGTGTGCAGTTCGCATTTGCACTGTATAATGTGCCGAATATTTATAATTTGTTAGACTTTGGTTGCCTCGCGATTACTGCTCTGGAAGTAAATGAAACAAACTTTTCTAAATTGCTTATGGTCTGGACGTTCTAAGTGATAGTCAAGAGCATATAAAGCTTGACACTTCGGATATGGATTTTATCGCAAGCGGTGTATAGTTGATTCTATAAGTGTCAAGCTGACGTGCTCTCGACATTGTACCTACCCCGGGAATGTATTTCTTTGTTGTGATATTCACAATCCGCAACCTCTCTAAATTTGAGAACAAATAAATTTCGTGATTGTCTCGCACATTTACGTGTTTATGATTTATTGCATAAAGTTAAAATGTAAAAACTGCAAAAAAAAAGAACTGTCATTTAAAAGTTTCTTATTCAGATACCTTAGATGGTAGGCTAGTATGTGATTGTCAGCGTAAACTAGTCACAATTTTAAATAAAATTGGCGCCATATGTTACATGTTGTGATTGTTTGTATTGGCCAAAAGATAGAATCGTGTCCAAAAATTAGGTGCTAGGAAGAAAAAGGCAAAATACTTAAGATATAGTGAAGAGATTCAGTGAGTTAACAAAGGCCAGGTTTAATGTGGGTTCTGAAGGTTTTAACTTGTTTAAAATTTAACAGAGAAGCCCTACAATCTGATAGAACCTTACTGGTGTGGAGTGGTGGTGGTAAGTACTTTCAGAAGATTGTTTGCATTGTACAGTCGGGCAGATTATTTTATAGCTATACATACATTTGTTACCTTATCTGATTAATAATTTCATTATAACCAAATATCAAGACACTGTATGCGGATATTCAGGGTGACATCACGATATTGTAGGACGTGTTCTAATCAAATTGGAAAAAGCCTAACATTTTGGTTTGGACACATTCTAGTGATGAAAAATTAATGTAATAGAAGATGGGCCTAATCGGGAAGGTTCCCTTTGATCACTTTGGTAAATTGTGCATGGAATGTACTATATCAGGCTTTTTATATATGCTTTCGTAGTTATTAATTTTCTGGATTCTATTGCCTACGATGTCTTAGAACTCGCACTTTCGTTCAAGGCTGTACAAAGCGGAGTTTTGGGTTGGCAGCGTGTGTGTTGAATGTTTTGTGCAATGTTAGAAGTGCCCATTCGTTAATTACTGATTATTTATACATTTAAATATGCACGGTTCATGGTCCCTGTCTATCCCAGTGGGAGACGGGCGTGATGGTATGTATGTGTTAGGCTAAAAAAACGAAAACGCTCATTGCGAAAAAAACGTCCAGAACGCGTTGTTCTCTTTAAAATGTCCATGAATAAAGTGTTATGGCACTTATAAAAATAGCCAAAAAGCGTTGTGATTAACCATTGACCTACAAGGTCAATGTGATTAATTCAAAAAGACCACAATACGAAATTCGCGTCGTGGCTCTCATGATAAGTGTTCCTGCGTAATAGTCAAATATCATAAGTGACACGTTAAAATATTCTTCACATTCTTTTTGTTAAGGATGTTTTAAAAAGACACCAGAGACGTTTTTGTTCCTCAACGGCGTTTTCGATCTTTGAGCTTAATATATTTAATATGCACGTTAGGCTCAATTTACATCGCCCAGAAACTGAATGGAAGTGAATTTTTGTAACGAAATATTGAGCATAATGCACTATATGTATGTGAATTATGAAACGTACGCAATATATACGAGCCAAAAACAGGTCACGCGTCTTCTCGCGCACAATCGTAATTCCCGCAGCTACCATCTCGTATCTTGTTTGTACTTTACACAATCGACACTTTAACGCGAGCCTAGATTTTAGGTGAGGTGTCCACCCTGTAAATTAATATGAATAAAATAAGAACAGGCGGACAAAATTTGACACAGATCCGACGTCGACAAACGCCCGATGGCGACAGACGGGGCAAAGGGGGGTGCGGCGTGTCGTTAAACCGATGGGCAATTTGCGAATTTTGGGACAAATGTCAATTTGTCCCAAAATAAAATAACAATTTGTAACTAAATTTTGCAGGTTCTCTGTAGTTGAAAACCAAAATTTACCAGGTTCTCTGTAATACTTAAGAGAAATATCTCCGTATGAAAATAATGAACCTACCTACCTGTTAACATTTTATTCTTAAATAATTCATTTTACATTTTATTTTAGCCTGTTTTCAGGACTATATGATCGGCTAAAGTACATCCTATCGCGTAACACATTCTTTAAACAATATCCTTATATTTTTGTAAGACTGTCATTAAATAGTAAATACCTAAAAATAAGATGAAATCATCTAACAAACCAGTTTTTCTCCGTTTCTTCTCCAGGGACTCGTCTTAAGTTCATTATGCCCAGTACCTTGTCGTTCTAAAATTAGTTTCCATTGCTTTCCGCGGCTTAGTCGTATGTAAATTGAGGCTTTGTTGCTAATTCATTAGATACGTACATACTTTAAGCATATTTTAGATTTTTGTATAAGTTTTCCTTTAATCAGTAACATTGACTTCTCTAACGTGTGATACTAATTGTATACCTATACTTAACTCATTACTTTTAATACACTTTGTCCGAGGCGTTCACAATTATGTGTACAATATCAACTATTTATTTCAGTTATTTTTGTTCATTACAGGATCAAAAGTGGCGACAGAACAAACCTGAAAACAAAACTGAGTAAGAATGTAATGTCATAAAAAATCATGTACTTACTCTATGAATGCATGCTTATCATGAATGCTTATTGTAATATCAATGTTTATAAAGATGGTTATTATACAGTTTATATTTTCATATGTGATGGTGTTTGAATAATTGATATAATAATGTTAACATTGTGGAAATAAAATTAAATATCTTACCTATTATTGCATTTTTACTCTAGAAATTTTACATAATAACCTGGAATATTTTAGTCTGTCGTTAAAAAATACAAAATTGTTTATTTACAAATGTATTTTAATAAAGTAATTAACATCCTAGAATTGCTAGAATTTCTATGATACGAATAAACAAAAATTATATCACTTTATAATAATAAAATAACGAAAACCGAATTAAAGTTTTTGAAATTTCTATACATCATTCATACATGACTGCTTTTTTATACTTATTTATATTTTAACATTACCCTTAATCACAATCGGAAAATACATTCTGTACAAAGTCGTGTGACCTAGAGCAAAACTTCGACGTCTAGGAACAATTTGGAAACGAAAAAAAGAAAATTGTCTATGCTATAAATTAAGTCAGTCAACAATAAATAGCCGGTCCTTATGTTTAAAAAATGAACACTTATTCACAATGTTAAGTATTATCGTAACAGTCATCGTCATTATCACTTCCAGAATCGTAATATTCATTGTCACTATCGTGTTCCTCCGCTCGAGGTTTTTTTACTAAGAGTCCTTGTTTCTGTAACCTTTCTATTGCTTCTAAAGCAGATCGTTTTGTAGAACTAACATCACTTTTTTCTTCAACCTGAGTAGTTTGTTTGGCTTTACTAGTTTTAACCACTTTTATTCCAGACATGCTCAGGTTACTAATTTGTTGCATGCTAGCACTTATCTCTGAACTCATTTGTGACGATGTAACTAGGGAGTTATCTTTAACAGTTTTTGTTGTGCTACTGAAATTCGATCTACTTGTTTGTGAAGATGAAGCAAAATGCATCTGACCTTCACTGTCATCAAATGAGGGTATGGGGGACTCTTTAGGTTTCTTGAAACAACTAAAAGGCCCAGCAGTTTCCACTGATGTAAGTCTTTTATTGGATGTCATAGCAGTTGGTGATATTTTAAGCGGTTTACCAAATACAGGTCTTTGTGGACCTGTCTGTGTGGTAGTTAAAGATGGCCCTGGTTTACGTATACTTGGCATGCATGGACTATTACCTCTAACAGTTAGACCAGGCCTAACAGGAACTAACTGGTTTGACGTTGCCATGGGCGGTCTGAAAGGACCTAAATGATTTGATGTCGTTACACTGCCCCTCACAGGAATTGCATGATTAGGTGACCTAACAAATGATCCAACAACTGGTCTATTCGCAGGCGCAGAATTTCTTATCCTGGGTCTCATTGTTGGCATTGCTGTTCTAACTTGTGTTCCTTGCAAGTTGTTGATTGGTTGGTTAGGTCTAATGCCCTGAATTCTTTGTGGCCTTATCATGGGAGTATTTTGATTTGTATTTCGAATCTCTTGTTTTACAGTTTGGTTTAAAGTTCTTATAGTCTTTGTTACCGTAGTTGTGACTTCTTCTATAACTGTTTTTGTCTGAAACGTTTGAACGGTCACTTCTTTGTTAATTGCATTTACTTGATCTGAAGTTGATACTTTTTGGTTAAAGGATTGATTAGAAGATCGCGAGACAATTTGTTGTTTCATGTTCTTATTAATGGGTACATCTATTGTGGCTTCACTATGAGATTTCAATTGTTTAAACGGTTTCACAGACATATGTTTGCCAAATTTGGGAATAATAGGTTTTGTTTCATGCACACTATCGTGTATGTTTGCATCGTCATCATTTTCTTCGTCGTCAAAATTCATATCTTTCAGAGATTTGATGGTTATGTTTTTCAAATTACTGAGGCAATCTGGTTTTCTATTAGCATCCGGAAATCGTTTGGGCAGTATGCTTGTTGTTATTTGGCTTTCAATGTCGTCATCGTTTTCATCACTTTTGGAAATTTCCTGGTCACTGTCAGAATTTGAAGTTCGTACAACATCTTTCCTATCAATGGAAATTTTATCTTCAATTTCGTCGTCACTTCCATGATCTATTTTGTTTATCTTCACCTGTGAGTTCACTTCTGGTTCACTGTCATACTCTTCAATCTCTGGTTTAATATCTTTTATCATAGGGCTCGTATTTGCAGAAAAAACGGATGTTTTTGGTGAACTTGATGTGACTGTTATGTTTTTACCCAAGTTTCGTAATGTATTGTTTAGTGATGTAGTTTTCTCAACAGGTCTTTGCATAGTTTCGTTTTCATGATCAGAATAGTATTCTTTATTAGATTCGTCATCCTGACAATTTTCGGAATTTGCTGATTTGAATTGATTTGTGCTCTTAATTGTGATGTTTTTGTTAAGATTACGAAGTAGATCTAGCTTTTGGTTTGTAATATTACGTTTAGCTTTGCTTAAACTATTTGTGATTGATTTAATTTGAGCATCATTTTTACTCCTATTTTGATAACTCATTTCTTCTTCATCAGAATCATCGATATTAAAAATTTCTATTTCTTCGTCTGTTTCCTCGGTTTTAAACGATTTTTGCACGAAGTTGCACTTCTGCATATTCATAGCCTGCTTGGGAGTATTAACTGTTACTTGTGATTGTACGTTTTTTATTGAATTCAATGACTTGGCTGTTATATTCGGCAATTGTTTCAAAATGTTTGTGCAGGTTTGCTTCGTCGCTTCGTCAATTTTGAGTGGTACTTCTTTATCAGTTTTAAGATTTTCGTATTCAACAAATCTATTAGTTGACTTTGGTGAATTGCTTGGTGTTTGACTTTTCATGACAGGACTTTTTAAACTTTTCATTGTAACAGAATTCGGTAACTTAAGATTTTTGTTTACAAAAATACACCCGCCATTTTCTGTATTTGTTTCTAAGTCTGGATCTTCGTCTACATGATCGTCATTATCGCTCTCATGATCAGCCTTTTCGGTAATGACTTTGGCAGATTTTGGAGAAGGCTTCAATGACTTAATCGTAACATGCTTACTTATGTTTTTCATTGCGTCCAAGGATTTGAAGGATTCTTGTTGAACATCAACTTTACTTTCTTTTGCTGTATCTATTATTGTATTTGGTTTAGGTATTCCGGAATTGTTTACATACTTTTCAATGTCTAATTTGTCTGCCGAACAGTGATCTGGTAAATTATTTTTAATGAGAACAGATGACGCACTTTTAGTTTGATTTACTGATTTAACTGTTAGGTGACTCAAACGTATTAGCGCATTTAATGGTTTTTTGTCAGAGTTATTCTGTATGGATTCTGTAGCCTTGTTGTCTGTAGTCTCTATTTCATCCTCAATATGATCTTCATCAGCATCGGAAGATTGGCATTCATCATCATCTAATTTAGTTAAACATTTTTGTTGATGAAATGTATTGTTCGGTGACGACATTGGCTTTATAGTAATATGTTGACTTAAATTCTTTAAAGCATTGAAAGTCTCGGTTGAATTCATTTTGGGTTTATTTATTTTTGGGATTCCTTTATGACTGTCACTAACCATAAGTATTTTTTTAGAATTTTGATTATTGCCAAGTACTTGAGATTCGGCTTCCTCTTCCATATCTTGATTTCTATGATCTACAGGACTAGTTGAATTTCCTTGCTCTGGACTTTCGGAATTTGACTCTGTAGTATTTTTGGGTGACATTTTCACCTTGTTGTCTTTTTCCTTATGTGTAAAGTATCCCTCATTTTGCTCTTTCTCTTTGCCCGTAGCATTTTCCGTTTCTTCCATATCACTGGTGTTTTGAGAGTCTGGTTTTTCAGAATCGATGTCTGCTTCTTCTAAAGTTTTGGTTTTGGAAGTTTCAGAAGCAGTACAACTTTGTACACCTTTTTTGACAATTTTTATTTGACTATTCTGTAATTTAGCCAAAGCATCATTAGATGAACTTAAAAATTGTTTTGGTTTTTGTGCTGTAGGATTAATTTTAATTGCCTTTACATTTTGTATACTCATAGGTTTGCTATGCATAACTTTTATTCCTTCAAATTGGTTTGGATGATTTAACTTCTTTTTCACAACTATGCCTTGTTTCTTCAATTTTTCTATTTCTACTGTTGGCGTTAGTTTAGCTCCAACAACAATTTTGGGAGGTTTTCTAGGCTTTAGTTGTTTTGCAACCACCTGTGTGGGAACTTCTTCTATGCCTTGTACATCTCCAAGGCCTTCGCCAAAAACGTCTTTATTCATATTTAAAAATTCATCAAGAGTTATAGTTTTCTTTTTCTTGTGTTTTTTCCGTTTCTTTTTCTTTTCAAGGACACCTTCACTATTGGAGTTATCATTGTCGTTTGATTCATTCATAGCTTGTTGGAGAAGTTCCTCCTGTAAAAATGCACCATTATGAATTTAGTCCAAATAAGGGAAACATGAACTTGACAAACTGTGTTTAGAAACTTACAATGCCTATTGAATTTGCGGTATCAGTACCATTGTCAGCTTCATTCTCTACTTTCTCCATTATTGGTGATACAGTCTCCAATGAAAATTCCATAATGTCGCGAGCCCTGGGAGTAAAAAGATTGAAAATAATATTACACACCAAGCACAACAAACACCAAGATTACGTTCACGGTGTTATTTGAAAGACAATTTTAAGATACAATTTTTGGGAAAAGGTAATAGATTCTCACATTTCATTTTCTTCACAATACAAGTCATCAGATGAGTGAAATGTAAGGTGCAGCTCATAGGCATCTAGATGGTAAAAAATGGCTTCACATAGTGGGCACCGCAGTACATCATCTGGACTCTGGTTTTCGTCACTGTGATCATCTCTCATGTGTTTCTGTAAGTTAATTTAAGCAAGTAAGTATAATTTGTAGCTGAATGAATGAAACATTTTAGCTATATACATATATAAACATTTTAGATATATAATGTAAATACATACATGTAAATTGACCTTGTTGAAATATTCTTCTCCACAAAATGGACAATAATATATTGGTAATGGCTCCTGGAAGGAAATGAAATGTTTGAAAATATGATTAATATTAACAGTAATGTTATGAATCTCATTTTAACGATAAGTGAATATAATTGACGTCATTCGAGAAGTATTTTTGGTAAATTCATAATTCATAATATAAAAAAGGTAACATTTGCCTGATGAAGTGTTTTATAAACCCCAATTTTGTGACATACCGTTTTTCTTCCAGATTCATATAGTTTGAACTAATACAAATGGAAGAGTAGACACCCACGTGACAAATATGTATACTTCCACAGAAAAAAAAAATTGTAAATGGTATAATTTTTGTCAGGAGAAACATAAAAAAATTATAATTTATAATATTTGAAAATTAATGGCTAGTTGACTTAGTCTTTCGACAAAACTATAAATAAATAACACACATTTTAAAGTAATTGACAAGAACATAGATTCATTAGTTAAGTACTTGATTTTATTTTTTCCACTTTTATTTCTTTAGTTCAATAGTCCACCATTTAGTTTAAGATTTTCACACCAGTGGTTGCTTTAGCAGTCTTCTACATACCTTAATATTATCATGAACTAATTCCGTGGATTATTGCATCAACATTGTTTTTTATTTTTTGGCAGGGTTGTCACATTAAATATCCAAAACTTAACTTAAAATTTAAGACTCTTTTAATATTTAAAATCTTTGCATTTAGAAGTAACTATGGGTAATTAACCTCAGGGCTTCAATTTTATCAGTGATACCTGCAGCATTTTTTTTACTGGTTATGGGAAAAGTAATAATGTTTGGTTCCAAATATGATAAAATATATCTAATATGAAAAACAATATATTAGTTACCATATCTTTCATTATTTTATTTACTCAGTTTACAAAAATATTGCATCACAAATTTAGTAACTTTTAATTGAGGATGCAATTTATATAACATATTGATTGCCCCACCAAATGTATTGTACATGTTTATTCAGTGAAGCAATTGATATCATGCTGATATGCTTGTATAGTAGATATGGTTTCTTAACCGCTCACGCGATGCGCTACCCCCACCTACACGGCCCTTAAAAGATAGCATAAACCTACCGCAAAATGGCGGCTATCTGGTTTCGCAAATTAGAAAAGCATTCAGTTTAAATACAAGTTTTCATAAAAAGAAATTATTATTCTGCGTTGCTAAATAAATACCCTCCGTATTACCAATAAAAACATCTCCAATAAAATGCAGTAATACACCGCAAATTCTGCACTTAAAAAGCACTAATGAAATTTTTGGTGTACTTGGATAAATATGATAATATTCCGTTTCAGTGGTTCTAACGTTTACCATGAAATTACTCCTTAAAGTATAGTTTATAAACATGTATATTCAGGGTAAATTTAAAATGCTACTTATGGTACATTTTCAATAAATAAACACCGAAATCACCAGACCAAACAATAACACTCACACAATTGTCGTGACATATTTTTGAAGTTGTTTATTTTTTTAAATAACAGACCCAGGCATTAAAAACTTTATGGTTTGCTAGAGTAGTTACCGAAATAGCAATTATTATTAGTTCTTTAACCAGTTATAACTTCGATATCCGATAAATCGGTATAAAATCATCACCGGCACCTCTAGGTGTGGTATATCCAGAGATGTATGAATCGTGCAATGATCTGCGGCAGCATGCGTGCACGGCTGCATGTATCGCGTGAGCGGATAATCTACCACACAAGTTCCTCCAGTAGGGCTAGCTCAACAGGGCGCGACTAGCGCGAGAGCGACATAAATCGCGAGATACTGCTATTGTCGCATAAAGATCTCGCGCTTATGTCTCTCTCGCAAAATTAATGCCCTGCATGCTAGCCCTACAGGATGTCCATAACTAATCTATTTCGATTACCTGATTGAACAATTTCATCTTCTTAGAATGTCCTATAACAGCTAGTTCAGTATCTTGGCGGTGGAAGAATTTATTATGGTACACCATGGCTGAGGGAACGAAGAAGTCAACTTCGCAGCTATCACAATGAAAACCTGATTTTTCACTCTGATCATTTCCACCATGACTATTTTCTATGTGTTTGTTGTATAAATGCTGAAACATTACAATACATAAGGACAATATTGGCCAATATTCAACTAGAAATAAAGAACATACGAAAATAATCACTAGAGTTTAATAAATGGGTAACTTAGGTTTTGAGCCAGAAAATGGTTTCCAAGACCTTCATCCTATACAATATGTGAGATTTTTTGATTGGCATTACTTTAGAGTAATATTATATGAATAGCTAGTTAATGCTTATTACAAAATGGATGACATTTGTACTTATCAGTCAATAAACATCTATAAAAAAGTGTATGATAACAGACATTGATAATGGTAGTGCTTGGGGGAGGGGAGAGGGCATAGGTCGTTATTCGCGAGTGTCACATAGCATCGAATTGGCGTATACGAGCATCTTACCTTCATTGTAAAGAGCTTCCCACACCACGGGCAAAAGTACTTCGCATCGTGATCAGGGTGCACCTTGTGTTTGTGAGTTATCGCTTTAGATATTGTTGGAAACATCTCTGTACACACGTCGCAACTAACCATCTCAATTTGACTGTCTTCGGATTGATCTCCCGACCCATGACTCGGTCCCTCTGTCGATATCTTACTACACTTCATACTTTGATTGAATTTAGGATCTCCGTGCTTCCTTTTGGAAAGAAAATTGTAGGAAAATTTGGTTAGTTCCGATTTTGTTTGACGTTTGCCTATCAACAAAATGGTGTTTGATCAACAAAAACACGTTATATTTTTACCTGAAATGTATTTGAAGATCTTCCTTGTTATAGAAAGATTCTTTACAGAAAATACAATTGTGGTCCTGTGTTGTACTCATGATTCTAACACTATGTAAAATCACTTATTCTAAGCGCATATTCGGCGTATTGTTAGACGACTGTTTTCCTTATATAACGCGCTAATGCGCTTATCCGGATACTATTTGTATTTTATAATAAATTATGCACATTTCGTTTTAACTCTTCATTTACTCAATTCCTCCAAAATAGGTACAATACACCAATCTTTACCAAACAAGGATATCGCCATTTTTTTTTAATCTGTCCCGAGCTAAAGCTTGCTACATTCATGTTGGTGTTGGATCGACATAGAGACGTGAATTACCATGTCACATACCAGTCTTTTTTTTTAAATTTATTGCTGGCCATGGAAACAAAGTCCTTCAGCCGACATACCAGTCTGATAAGTAGTGTTGCCAGATTTTCTTTAGTCTTGTATGACAGTAAAGCATCAGTAAGGTAAAGCGTCAAAGTTCCGATTTTTTTTTGACGTCGTATTTCTTCAATAATTGTTTTCTCTATTTTACGTAGATAAAACCGCTGCCTTACTTTGTGGTAATTTTATATAGATTAGTGATATCACAAGACTTGATATCGCGAATACAATAAAATTTAATCCATTATCCATTGACTTACTTTATTTGTAAGTCAATGCCATTATCCATTTTTTTTTTTTATATAACTGAGACTTATAAGACAAAAGATCTATGTGCCTGTAATTTCACCAACACTCTTAACTTTCAAAACCGGTACGCAGATATCTGGGTATCCAGTCGAAAAGAGAGTCATTCCACATGAGAATGAAATAAAATACATAGACTTTTTATTGTGATAATTTGAAAGAAGATCCCTTTTAAAATTTCACATTTTTTGCAGATATATTTAAGGTGGCGGTAAGGAATGTATACGTATGATTATTACTGAAATCTCCTTGACTGTCTTTGAAAAAACTAGCTAATTTGGTAGGGAATGGAAATAACCTAACTCACCACTGACTAGAAAAGATAATCAAAATAAACTTAGATACGTGGGGCCTTAGAGCATAGCGTGGGGTGGGGCACACTATAAGTTTCCGGAATGAATAAGAAAAAAATACTCTACTATACTAATAAAAATACTATACTAATATAAATGGTCAGAAATGAATTTACTATTTCTCAAAATATTCTCCGTTAGCGTTAATGGACTTTTTCATACGAATGAACCAATTTTGAAAACATTTATGCCACTCCTCCGAGACAATCTCTGAAACATATTTTTCATACTCTTCGACAGCCTCTTCAAGTGATGAAAATCGTTGACCGCGTAACTGGTTCTAAATTTTTAGAAATAAATAAAAGTCACAAGATGCCAGGTCGGGACTGTACGCGGGATGGCTCATTAGGTCAACGTTGTTCACCTTCAAAAATTCATTTGTCTATCTGGCCGTGTGAAAACTGGCATTATCGTGGTGCAAGATGGTACGGCGTTTACGGTTGTTTTTACGGAGTTTGTGAATAACTTCTGGCAAACAAATGGTTGTGTACCGATCATTATTCACGGTACAACGATTCTCTAAAGCAATAGTAGCCACGTGTCCAGTTTTATTAAAAAAAGAAGCAATCATGCGCTTAGAGGCACTTTGCACGCGCGCTATTTTGGTTGATTTCGGCTCATCTCGAAAGACCCACACGCTCGATTGCTGCTTTGTTTTGGGATCGCAACTTTAAAGATCATGTTTCTTCACCTGTTACTATGTCCCACACCAAATTTGACGCCCCTTCGTTGAATCTGGTAAGTATGGCATTGCACCAAGTGACGCCTTCCGTTTTTTGAGCCTCAGTCAAATTGTGTGGGATCCATCGAGAGCACAGCTTTTTCACATCCAAATATTTGTGTGGTAATGACTGTATTTGACTCATACCTATACCTAAAGATGCCTTAATCTCATGGTATGTCATATGCCTGTCTGTTTTGATTATACGGCGCACAGCATCAATGTTTTTGTTGTTCACAGCAGTGACCGGGCGCCCATCACGAAATTCGACACTGAGATTCACACGACTGCGTTTGAATTCTGCAAACCAGCTGGGTTATAAATAGTCGTCTTGCATGGTGCTTCATCGCCAAAAGCAGTTTGAAGCCGAGCTGCTGAGTTGTTACATTACACTTAAAGTCGTAGAAAATAATAATACGAAAATTTTCACGAGTTAAATCCATGGTGATGTAGACAACCAATTTCTAAAATGACGCCACAATGTAAAAACAAGTGACAGTCAGATGAATCAAACTGTATTCTACAGCCAAAGAGTTCCATTTTCAAATGTTGTAATTACTTTTTAAATATTGTTTATGTAAGTGGCCAATTCCGGAAACTTATAGTGCGCCCTATATACGAGTAGGTATCTACTCACCATAATTTTAAAACGTGACGTACATAAAAAAGTCGAATTTATATGTCAAACATTATTAAACTACGCGTCCACCTCATGCCATTGGTCATCTATATCGTCGTGAGAGACACATCCACAACCCAATGAGGGTTGGCGTCGGGCAGGTAGCTGGCCGTAAAAAGACTGTTAAATCGTACTTCTTGGACATAGCATCCGATTCCTGTGACAAATCGGTTAGGGTAGTTGTTAATGAAGACTGTTCTAGAGACGAGGAGAACGCATAATGGTAAAATAACAAGGAGCAAAAACCATTTGAAGAAAAAACGTTTAGGAAGATTGATAAAAATAATGTAGGAGATGAGAACCTGAGAGAGTGGAGATGGGAATAAAAGAGGCGAAAGGAAATATCTGGAAAATCAGATGACAGTTTTCAAGACCAGAAATAGTTTTAACGATTGTTAAAACTAAAAATAATGCTTGAGACACGTCGCGTATCAAATTAATAAAAGACGATGTTGAAATGGTTCTATCAAACGATGATTTAATAAAAGCCCTTTAACTGGTAATAGAACGAATAAAAAGAGAATGTTTGGACTGGAGCGCTAGAAAATTCGCAATTGCAAGTAGTATATGATACAGGTATTACGTTATATTTAAGAACTGGGAATCTGTAGAACCAGGTGGAATACCAGCTGAAGTGTGAAAGATGAGTGAGAATAGATGTATGTAACCCACTAGCACCCATTTTCAAATTAGGAATATTTCCAGAACTGCAACGATTGTCACATAATACAGTTCGTGCTACCTACGTAGTATGTACACGTGTATATAGTACACGTAGTATGAGAACGTGACAGTATAGGAGAAAAAGCTAGAGAAATGGCGAAATAATCGTATACCGTGCTACTCAAGTTTTGTGTGCTTAAAAAAATTCGAGCCTTTTAGGGACAGGATAAAAGGCACTAAAATGTGAATGTTAAGATGGATGTATAGAGTTCCCCGAATTGATAAGTTTAGAAATTAGTAAATAAGAGGAAGTGAGAAATTAACGCGCAGGAAGAAATTGCTTTAAGGAAGTTAGTAACGTGGTGACCAGTCAATGACAAAAGAAGATCAGATTAACAAAGAATTAAGTAAATTACAATCATCATAGGCATAAAAAAATCACTATCAATCAACACAATGTTGACTAAAAGTCTATCTGTGATACTGAGTTCAAAACAATGTTACTCTGGAGTGTCTGGGAAAATTCGAGCACAGAAGTATGTTCTTACAAAATATTTCCAAGGTGAACCTAAAAAAAGTGACTTCAAGGTTGTCGAAGAAGATCTTCGAGATTTAAAAGATGGAGGTGAGTGAGAAAACGTAACAAATAATTACCTTTTTTATTGTCAATTTACAACTTATCATATTTAGAACTGATTTATTTTTTAGAATTTCTAGCGGAAGCAGAATATCTCAGTGTTGATCCGTATATGCGAGCTTATATGATTGGGTATAAACTACCAACTGATATGATAGGAGGACAAGTTGCAAAGTAAGATTTATTCCAGTACTGAGAAAACATAAATATTTGTGCTAGTGTTCTTAAGGTGTTAGTGTTCTTAAACTATTTAAACATGCATTCAGAATCATCGTGAGCCGTAACGAAAAATATCCCGTGGGAAAATATGTGACTGCATCTTTTGGTTGGAGAACCCATACAATTTGTAATCCCGCTAAATACAACAAGGTGGCATCACTTTTGCCTTTGACTCTTTTACCAAATATCGATCCACTGCCTGTGTCATTAGCTTTGGGAGTATTAGGTATGCCAGGGTAAGTTTTCAATAGATTTTATTCAAAATTGTATAAAATATTAATTGTATACTTAATAAGTAAAAATTTATAGTATACTTCAATTGGTACTTACTTACCTTTCATTTTGATTTTAGGAACACAGCGTATTTCGGTCTCAAAGAAATTTGCCAGCCGACGCCAGGTGAAACCATTGTTATTACTGGTGCAGCTGGAGCGGTTGGCTCTCATGTTGGTCAAATTGGAAAGATATTGGGTAGATACAATTTACAAATGACAGTCTTGTAGTTATTATATTATAGACTTAGGCCACCCAATTTAATGCGCTGACGCTGATCACGAAATATAGATCGTAACTTGAATTATTAACAACAAGCTCCTTACCACTATCACCACTAACACCATGACCACCTACACCCTAAACTACCAAAATCCTTTACTTTTCAGGTTGTCATGTCGTAGGCTTTGCTGGAACTGACGAAAAGTGCGAATATTTACAAAAAGAGGTCGGCTTTGATCGTGCGTACAATTACAAAACTGCCAATATAAAAGCTGCTTTACGAGAAGGTGCCCCCAATCGAGTGGATTGTTACTTCGACAATGTACGTACAAAATTCTTAAGGTCCGCTGGTTCGTTCTGTGGCTTAGATGACATAGCACAGCGGTAGGTTTGCTAGAAGACATTGGTTCGAATCCAGCCGGATGGAACGATTTTTTTACGTGTTCGACCATTGTATTACCTAAATAAAATGTAGGTAATGTCAAAAGCACGTAAAGCTTTGACACTTTGACTTTCAATTCGCATCGTGACAGGTTTAGAGTTTGATTTAAATTTTAAGTGTCTAGTGCTCTTTCTACATTACATTATATTACAAATCTGTGTATGTGTTACCAACAATGTGACGCTAAAGGCACATTGTTGGTAATCGATAACGATATTTCATGTTATAGGTAGGTGGCGAAATAAGTTCTACCATTATCAATTATATGAATAAATATGGAAGAATTGCTGTATGTGGATCAATTTCATCTTACAACGACTCTACTTTACCTAAAGGTACCTATAATGTAAACTAAACACGCTCCATTAAACTGGTTATGATTCTGTAAATTAACATAAAAAATGATTTTTAATTACACTTATCAACACATTGTACAGATTTCACTTACATATTATTTTTCATTTTCATTTTTAGCGACTCTTTTGCAACCTGCTATAGTCCTTAAGGAACTGAAGATGGAAGGGTTTTTGGTAAATCGGTGGATGGACCGTTGGGATGAAGGTATTAACGCAAACTTGAAATGGCTGAATGAGGGAAAACTTAAATACCAGGAAAAAGTGTATAAGGGCTTTGAAAATATGGTGGAGGCCTTAGTTGGAATTTTGAAAGGCGAGAATACTGGAAAGGCTATTGTTAAAGTATAGAAGTAAAATTATGAACAATAAATATTTTTTCGAAGGTAGTTTTTTTCCATTCCTTGTTTTCAATAGAATTTGTTGCTCGGGCCAGTGCGTGTAACGAATAAAATAAATAACTCTCTTTCATCTTCACCGTCAAGATTAGTTAGATAAGTATTTCCTTGTTTTTACTTTTTAAAAGGTATTTTAACATAAGGAAAATTGAGAAACTTAGACAAGTAATATGGAACGTGGTGAATTGATATTTGCTGTATTTGTCGATTAAGTAAAGGGCAAATTGGCAAATACTTAGTCACACATTCGCCTAAACCATCTACAAAGGGTGAATGTTTGGCAAATATTATTTCTTTTTTATGGCTTTTCGCGGTAAGCGTTTTAGCAACTTACTTATTAACTCCTTGTTTATAACATGAAAAGGAAAGGGAACAGATTCAGGAAGGTGCAGATAGAGAGCAAAAAGGAATCGAGGGAGGAACTATGAGATATGAATAAACAATTAGTATAAATATAGAAGAAATATTATATACCTACTTACCCGACAACTAAAGTTTTATATTTAATATTAATATATTTATATCATATTATTATTATAATATTAATATAATTCAACTGCCTCCGTGACCGAACGGTTACAATGTCGGACAGCCACGCAGAGGATTTATTTGTGTCGTGAGTTTGGGTGTAATTCGTGGTTGTCTGTTGTTGTGTCAATGGCACCCGCGATACAGGGTTTCTCTAGTGCGGGGCTATGTTGAGAGTGTACGTTATTATTATTATTATTATCCTTCATAAAAAAAAAACGAGCTCACTCGTTCAGCCGCATGCATGCATGCAGCCGTGGCATGGTAACCGTTTGGCTACGGAGGCAGTTAATTAGGAAATTAAAAATTAGTAAATATTTTGCAGTTGGCCGCTGATGGCTTTGACTGCGCCACCGGAAAATAGGGCGAGCTGAAGGCTCATAACCCGTAAATGAGCTCGTTCAGCGGTTCGGTTTCGAATACGACAGTTTGACGTTCGATTCGGTTATTGTGAATAAAAATGAAAAGAAATCGTACGATATCTAATCGAATCGATCGACAATATAGTTATCGTAAGGTTCTAAATCGACCTGCTGGACGGTTGATGTATCTAAACCATGCCACCCCAGTGTTGCTGTTGTTGAAACCCGAAAATACCCGTAATAAAGGTGATGATGTAAAATTCAATTGCTCATTTACTTATACAACTCCCGTTGTTGTACCTAATTATTTCCGTCTGTTCTAAAACACCCAGACGTAGTATTTTTTCGCAAAAATGTAAGATTTCATAAGAATGGGAATCTGGTAAAATATGATTTGGTTTTTAAACGACTTTTTAGTCGTAGCGCCATCTAGGAGAAATCTATGAAAGATTTATCACCCAGTTAGTACCTTTACAGCTACCAGTCCTGGCGAGAGATGTCGCTATTCGCTGTATTTAAATTTTTTATTGAATTGATATTAAATTATTTTTTGTGAAATTACTCCACTAGTTTGTTATAATTATTAATACAAAGATCGAACACTCAGAAAAAATCCTTCGATCCGGCCGGATTCGAGCCGACGTCTTCTAGCTTACCGTGCCAGACGCTATACCAACGAAGACACGGAACGAATCAGCGGACATCACGAATTTTTCTATGTACTTGCGTCGTGTCTTTGTATTTGGTTTTTCAACGACTTTTTAGTTGTAGCGCCATCTATGAGAAATCCATGAAACATTTATCACCCAGTTAGTACCTTTACAGCTACCAGTCCTGGCGAGAGATGTCGCTATTCGCTGTATTTTAAAGTTTTATTGAATTGATATTCAATAATTTTTTAAACAACCTCAAAAAATAATTGAATATAATAAGTCCGGAAAAAGTCTTGTACAAATTGAAAAAAAAAATGTTTAAAGCCGATCCAAGTGCTACCATAAGACCCTGTGCTCGTAAGCGCCGCGCACCTTGCATCATAGGCAAAACCGGCACTGACTGATCTCCAAATAAATTTTGGTTGCTTGGTTGCGCCCTCTATTAGTAGGTTAGTTTAGGTTAGTATACGAAACCATAGGGGCTATCCGCCCTATCCTCGTAGAGTGGGTAAACCGGTCCCACGGGCCACTGTCGTACCACCTTGTGTAGGAGCTGACCGGGCACGGCTGCTTCGGTCCTACCTGCACAATGTGGCGACGAGGAAACCGTCCCCGCCTTGCCACGAGTGCGGCGCTGCGGATGACACCGCGCACCCTAAAGGTGTGCAGCCGGTGGGATGAGCAGCGCCGCACTCTGACGGGGACTGTAGGGCAGGACCTCTGCCGCCGCCGCTGCCGGGAGTGGTTGTCGCCATGTTCGATAGCGAGGAGTCCTGGGAGGCGGTGGTCTCCTTTTGCGGAGAGATTATGTCGCAAAAAGAGGCCGCGGAGCGGTTGCGCGAGGACGCGGCAGACTCACACCTGCTTCGGCGCAGACGTACGGGGAGGAGGCGAGCGCAGTTCGCTGCTCGTGAAGCCAGCGGGCTCTGGACAGGGACTCCGGAGTCTGCATTGTGCGGCCTCACTAGTCTAGGGGGCGGGTCGTAGGACAACCGACTCGCCCCTACTAAAAGTAGGGTAGGCCCTCCAGTCTGGAGAGATAGTCCCCACATGACCCCTGAGTCTCCCTGGGATCAGGGGTATCTATAAAGATTTCCCCCCAAAATTAGCACGAGCCGAGCGAATAAAGCGAGCGTGTCGCGGCAGCGGCCGGCGATGCCAGAAGCTAATTTGCTTGCGTTTCCGAACATGTTTTCAGGTTAAATTATATTGTAATATATGAATATAATTAACATTTACATAATTTTAAATCAAGTATCTAAATTTTATTTTTAGTTCTCATTTGTCATAGTTGGGTCTTAAAATAAAACTATCAAAGGTAATTTTAGTGATAATTTTATTGGAGCTACTCGGGACGCGTCATACAGTTACTAAATAAAATGTAGCGAATATCATCAAAAAGGTAAATTCCGAAAAACAGCTCAAGTTGAGATTCTAAGGGTCGAAATATAAAACTGCGAGGCGACGTCGCATCGCACAAATCTATGACATTCGAATTAGAAACAATAAAATAGATCTAAGTAAATTATGTAAAAATATAGTAATAATTTAATTTAGTATTGCAGCCAAAAGTATAATGTCATAGAAAAAACAATGACATAGAAACATGAAAAGATATTTAAATTTGAATTACAAAGGAACGCATACACTAAAAAGGTTTGCTCTATTAAAAATATTTAACCTCCTTTAACAATCCTTCTTAAATGAGTTAGTAGAGCCAGTCCAACTCCTTTTTAAACGTGCATTCCTTTCAAACATCTTTCATGCTTTCTCTACTCAGTCCTTTCGTTAACACATCTTCAGGCATCTCTTGTGTTGACACATACTTTAAGCGCACCTTACCTATTCGCACCATTTCCCGAATGTAGTGATACCTCACATCAATGTGTTTAGTTCTCCGACGATGCATGGGATTTCCAGCAATTTGAATCGCAGACTGACTATTATTTAGTAGGTCACAACTTCATTAATCCCAGTCAGCTCGGCTAGAAGTGCAGTCAAAAATACTGCCTCCCTGCATCCTGCCGAAAGAGCCACATACTCGGCTTCAGCACTGGAGAGTGCTATTGTTGCTTGCTTGCGACTTTCCCATGCTATAGGACATCCTTCAAATATGAATACAAAATTAGCGTAAGATTTCCTATCCCACACGTCACCAGCATGATCTGCATCCACATAGCCAACAAGTTTTCTTCCCGTTTTCTTGAATACCAGTCCGAGTTCTTTGGTTCCGTTTAAGTACCAAAGCACACGCTTTGCAGCTGTCCAATGTGTTTGATCGTAACAACTGTTAAACTGACTTAAATAGCTGACTGCATACGCAATGTCCGGACTCAAGCAGACAGCTTGGTAATTCAGTGTACCAATCAACTCTCTGTATGGCAGTTCACTTGGTGACACGTAATTCTCATTTTCTGGTTTTACGAGCTTCAACCCAGTTTCAACAGGAGCCTTTACACTCTTGCAGTCAATCGTCTCAAATTTCTTAAGTATTTTCTCGATACTCTGATTGGTTGAGCTGTTTGGAGTTCCCTTGCTGTTTGATCTTCCTTCCTAGAAAAACATCTACTTCGCCTAAGTCTCTCACTTCGAATTTAGTTTGAAGCTCCTTCTTTACTGATGTCCTTTCTTTTTGATTATTCCAGAAAATTAATATATCATCCACATAAATCGCAATAAACACCATACTGTTTTGTTTCTTCCTCATATAGACACAAGGTTCACTTTCGGATCTCTTGGAACCCATGTCTAACAAAATTTTGTGTAATTTCTCATACCATTCTCTGGGAGCCTGCTTTAATCCGTAAACAGCCTTCTTCAATAGACAGACATGTCCTTCTTTGCCAATTTTTTCGAAACCTTTAGGCTGTATCATATACACCTTCTCCTTTAAGTCTCCATTCAAGATCGCAGTAACGACATCCATTTGATCCACTTTAAAGCATTCTCCACAGTTAAGGCTAATAGTAATCTCAGAGTGCTGTGACGTACAACAGGCGCAAAAGTTTTATTGTAGATTAATCCCTTTATTTGGGTAAAACCTCTGGCAACAAGTCTATTTTCCCCGGCTCCTTTTTTATTCTAAAAATCCATTTAGAATCCACAAAGTAACCATTAGCCTTTTCTACTAACTCCCAAGTCTGGTTTTTCTTAATTGCATCAAGCTCTTCTTGAATTGCTTTAAGCCATTTATCTCTATCTGGTCTGGATAAAGCTTCGTCAACTGGTACAGTATCTTCCTTCATATCCTCTTCTGCATAATAAAGAATATAATCATTATATTTTTTGGCTACCTTTCTCTAAGAGGATATCTTGTTTCAGGAATATCTTAGTGGTTTACAATCTTAGTTCAGAAACTTCTTTATCTTGAATTTCAGATTCAGGAACTTCCACTCCTTCATTGGGGTTAC